CTGACTCCACGGCACATAAAACAGCAACAACAATAGGAATTTAATGATCTGTTCCAGATAATAAGGTTTTGATTAAAACATTCAGTAATGGCAGTATGGTTTTACAGTAATAGAGTATTTCACAAAAACATGTTATTTATTTTATGTTACCCATAGTGCCCAGGTTAATGTCTGACACATATAAAGTACTCAGTCAGCATTTTAATAGTATTTAATTTTAATGAGAATATTACAGTAAGCCTATTGTCATTGCATTTTATATATAATTATAGTATAGTTTCCCTTTCAAGCTTTATAGGCTTAAGAGTCACTACAAATCAGAGCTCATCTATCCAAAACTCAGTAAAATAAATCAGATGTACAGAGTGCCATTATAATATATGTATTTCTTAGTGAGGACCATTTATGTAACATTAGAAGACTTGCATGTGAGTATAAAATAGTGAGATCCTAATTTTGTTTTTTCTTACACACCATATTGAGAAATGTGACTGATCAGATATCTTTTGCAAGAAACTAATTAGGTCATTTTTTCCCTTTAATTTGCATATTAGGCTTTAGCACATACCTTTCCTACCAAAAATACAAAACAATCAATTCATTGTACCCCAAAGTTTTCAATTTAAGTATAAATATGATCCGCATTTGTGTTGGTTATCTTCTGAAGTCAAGCAGAATGATAGCATCCAAACATATCAATCACTATTAAACATTCAAGGAGAGTTCACTGTAAATTAAAATATTTCATTAATCATAGCAACTCTTACTACTGCTGTCTTATCAACAATATAAGAGCATGCATATGGTCAATGCTTCTTCCAAGAGAGCTGAAAGTTTGCCTGTGATCTGTGGCTGATTTTTGAAGTCAGCTAAATGAGCTAACTGAAGGTTGTTTCCATCATATGATTAATAACTAGAACGGAGGGTCCATAATACTCAAATGTTTAAAATTAATTTGCTACAAGTTAAACATGACAGTGCCAGGAAGCCAAAGGAAATAAGAAAAGGACACGTAATTGTTATACATCATAATGTCAAACTTGGTATTTTTCATTTCCTTCTTCTATTTTATTCTTCTAGCATACATTTGGTTAGATATCCTCTTTTCAATTAAGGCAGAATTATGAAGTAGACATGTTTTTATTCATTTAAGTTTTCATTGATAGATAACTGTTTGTTTCAGAGAGGTAAACAAATTGTTTATGATGTAGTGGTCTAATTTTTCTAAAATGTCATTGTTCAAAGAAAGGCAAGGAAATCACTGTGTCGGGGGAAACCCACAAATCATTCTGCTGTTGTCATGAAATCTATAAAACTTCATCTTCCTGTAATTGACACCTCATCTTCGAACTGCATTGTTGATGTTGTTGTTAAGGGCCATTGAGTCAGTTCCAACACATTGCAATCCTGTATAGGGTTCCCAAGGAGCAGTGAATGGGCTTGAACTGCTGACCTTGTGGTTCAAACAAACCTTTAGGTCCAGAACATTATCTTAAAAGTGATTTACAATGAAATTCCTGGTTGTTATTCTTGTTATTAAGTGTCATTGAGTTGGTTCCAACCAATAGTGACCCTGTATAGGGTTTGCGAGGATCAGCTGATGAATTTGAACCACCTATCTTGTGGCTCAAACTGATTTTGCAGTCCAGTGCCTTAACTCACAGCACCACACCAGGACACTGAAAAGTCCTGGCATTCTTTGTATAATCTAACTAGAGCCTTGCTATCTTTACAATATTAACTGAGAAATACAAAGTGAAATTTTTGAGAATTTAAAAATCACACAGATGCCCAGTGAAGGAGGCATTCTGTGGAGCCTCTGAATTACATAAAACTATAGGTGGAATCCTGAACCCCATCCAGAATCTTCTGAGGTGCGAAATTTCCACTTGAAAGGACAAGCAGACCAGCCTGGAGCGACTAGAAGAACAGAAGATACTTTTTGAAAGAAAGACCAGCAGGAAAAATACAAAACAATAATGGCAGTCCAAATAGTTACTAAAAGAACAAGCAAGTTGCTTACCCAGGAGACATCAAGGCAAGTGATTGGGTCCCCTCAGGGCAAACATTCTTCCAAGAGTAAGACTCAACAGGACTACACAAGCAGACATGCACTCTGATTGGTGACCACGTTCATCATGAAGCTGCGAGCTAGGCCCTACAAC